TACATTGATCAAAATACATCAAACAGTGACTCGCTGTGACAAAATATAGCTAACATAAAGCTGCATTTCTTTCCTATGGTGGGTGGATGGAGAGCTTGGTGGGGACCAGGGGTCTTACGCGTGCACTATAAACCAAACCATACAAACTGTTATCGTGGGGGTGGGGATGGGGAATGAATGGTTAGCACGTGCAGGCTGCTTCATGAGGTATGTTATTGAGTCAACTGGTGTGGTTTCGATTCCTCGGGTGTACGTGACAAAGAGTAGGGTCGCCCGTCGAGACTCGTGTGTTTTCTCCGGGCCTCAAGTTTCCTCCTTCTGCTAAAGACTCCCTACGCGCAAGTGAATTATTGAAATAAAATTGAAACCTATGTTAGTCCCGAAACCGGAGGACCCGGAGAAAACCCACGTGGTTTGACAGGCGACCCTACTCGATGTCAGGTACAACCGGGGAATCGAACCCCGCCAGTTGACTCAATGACAGACCCTATGATACAGCGCGCATGTGCTAACCATTCAGCCATCAAACCCCACTTTCGATATAAGAGTAAGCCGTAGCCTCATGGTAAAATTTCGTTCATGTCCATCTTCATTAGCCCAGCAGAATAATTCGTGAAATAATTGTGAATTTAATTTCGAAGCCTGCTTCCTTTTTGTCAGCCTGGAGATGATAATTAAAGTTTGTCCCAAGTTAATATCAATATAGGTGTCGCGAAAAACTTGCCACCTGGAATTTGTAAATGAGTGAGTGTGGGAAGGTGGGAATCGAAAACAGAAATATTTCTCTCGCGAATTTCACAATTTATCCTGTGGGAAAGTGGTAATCTAAAACGAAAATATCTCGGTTACCAATTTCACAAGTTGTCTTGTGGGAAGGTAGGAATTATGTGGTAATCTAAAACGGAAATATCCCGTTTACCAATTTCACAAGTTATCTTAGAAAATAACAACCTGATTCGATGTTGTTTGAAGAAAAATGGACCTTCATCCCTGCCGTGGCCATCTTAACTCAAATTCCGTCATGCTTTGATGTTGGCGTTCCATTATTTCAAATAATGGTACGGGCAATGTGCCCAGTGTACATTATTTATACTAATTGAAATTTTGGACCCGCGTGACGTATTTCATTGCAAAGCACGATTTAGTGTCTGTATTTTAAGTTGTTTAATGGTCTCGAGTTAAAGGGATAATAACACTCTTGATGGCTTGACAGCTCCAGAAAATAAAAAATAGCCTTAAGTACTAGATGTGTTAGTGTCCTACCTGTGTTGTAAATTATTCATGAAATCCTATTTTACTTGTCCAGAGGGTTCAAAAATATTTTTAAATCCAAGTAACATTTGAAAAGCTTTACACCAGGATTTTCAAATCATTTATTGTACCATCAATTAATTGGGACATTGTAAAATAGTACAATTTGTTGACCAGAATAAAGATTGGGACATATTATTCAGTTACAACAAGAGTGGTATTGAGCCTTTAAGACATTGCGTAATATACTGACGTCCCTCGTGTTGTTTCAATATATTACTTTATGTCTCGCTCTCACCACATATATTGTCCCAGTTGAGCTTTCGTATTAGTGAATGGTATCGTGTAGGATCGAGGAGGGGTATGATGACTCTTTCTTAACATGTGGGCTTCTTTACAATTTGTCACTGGCCATTATTATCCATGAACAGGGAGAGAGAGAGGGAGAGAGAGTTTCCGGACTAACATATGGTTTAATTTTATTTCAATAATTCGCTTCCACGTAGGAGTCAAAAGCAGTGGGAGGAAACCGGGGGCCCCGGAGAAAACCCACGAGATTGGACAGGCGACCCTACCCCTTGTTACGTACAACCGGGGATTCGAAACCACGCCAGTTGACTCAATGACAGGCCGTATGATACAGCGCTCACGTGCTAACCATTCGGCCATCCAACCCCCGGAAATCTTACTTCGTTCATGTTAGCGGGGATTAAAGCGTGGAGGTTTAACGTCCACCAGTGACCTAATAGTTAACGCGTGCACGTTGCATCATAAGGTCTGACATTGGATCAAGCGGCGTAGTTTCGATTTCCCGCTTGTCCGTGACAAGGAGTAGGGTCGCCTCTCTAGCCTTGTGGGTTTTCTCCGGGTCCTCCGGTTTCCTTCCACTGCTAAAGACCACTACGCGCAAGCGAATTATTGAAATAAAATTGAACCATATGTTAGTCCCGAAATGACTAGTTTGTGTTGAGTGGACTTTAAACCCCATTTCTCTGTCTCTCTACACGGGACCTCAGTTTTTCGTCCCACCCGAGCGACTAGACAGCTGTCCTTGTCAGGCTCTCCGTCATGCATCACTAACAAGGGAGAACCACGTCGGAAATCTGGATGAACTTTCTTGGCCAATGCAGGGATCGAACACCGACCTCCAGGCTAGCGAGCCAGCGTCTTACCCACTTAGCCACCGTGATCCCCCTCGATTTCCCATAAGATTAAAATACAGATCCTATTTCGTTTCGTTTTTTTTATAGTTCAAATTTTCGTTTTACTTGTCTTTACTACAGTAGGATCTGGAAGTGTTATATATATATATAACTCGGGTTCTGGGTGGTATGAAGGACTAGCCAATGACACGGTCTGTTACGGCAAGTTGTTGGTGTGAATTGCTCGGAACTGTGGGTAACCCACTAGAAACATCAATGCTGATTAGTTAGTCAAATGTGTGACGTCATAGGGTCAAGGCCCTTCGCATGACTCCTGACGCGAAGTTCCACTACAACCGGTCAGATCTTCATGTAGTAGAGGCCATCGAAAGTATAAAAAAAAACGAAACGAAATTTAGATCTATGTTTTAATCAAATTGTTCAATTATCAATTAAAATTGCTACACATGAAGAGCCCCGGGGAAGAACGATCTAAATCACTTTTTCAACGTACCCCAGTTAATGGCGCCATCTGGTAGCAAACTGTATAAGCTTTCTGTGGAACAATCAATTTCAGGTAAAAACGATGAGAGTCACATCAAACCAAGCCCCCCCCCCCTGAAATGGCCTCCCGGACAAATACAAGTCCATCGTACCCTTTATTTAACCTTAATTTGGCTGAAAAGTGGAAGTCAGTTGTTGTACTGGTAATTATGATTCGTATTAAACATCATTTTGAAGTTGTAATTAAACCCACTCGTTGTTCTGTTCGCGTCAAATATTCTCGTCTAAAAGTCTGGGACCCGTTTCACGAAATTTTAACTAAGATAAAATCCAAATTTTAGTAATTTGATTGGATAATATTAGACTGATTGTAGTGCCTAGCCAATCAAAATTGAAGTATCTACTAAAATTTGGATTTTATCTTTAGTTAAAATTTCGGGACCCTGTTTTGCCTTTTATGCGAAAAGACAAAAATATGACTTAGATCGTGTCTTCCACTGAACTCTTCACTTTATTAGCAGCGTAGTGTTCCATTCAGTCTGTCTGACTGGATTATCCCGCCGAACTCGGGACCGGGTTAGACCTAAATATTAAGGCCGCCTGCAGATTCCGTCAAGCTCAGGGCTAGAGCTAACCCTAACCCACAATCCTCGGCTACAAGCACATGCCGTAACCCTGTTTACATCTCGTGACCTTGACGAAATCTGCAGGTGGCCTTAATATTTAGATCTGACTTCCAGAACCTCCTGCCACCTGGTGTGTTCTGCTCCCATTGGGCTAAATTAGTAAAGAAGACGGGCATACACTATACGGTGTGCTAAGAGGGAACTTGTTCACTGACAGAGGCACTATGGCCTACTCTTATATAGAATTCCAACTGCCAAGGGATCTTTTACGTCCACGCAATGTGTACACGGGACCTCGGTTTTCCGTACCATCCGAATGACTAGACAGTTGTCCTGGTCAGGCCCTCCACCCTGCACCACTGACAAGAAGGGGAAACCACGCCAGAAAATGCCGATGAACTTTTTCGACCATCACCGCCAGCGAACCCGCGACCTCCAGGCTAGCGAGCCAACGTCTTACTCCCTTAGCAACCGTGACTCCGAGAATCGTGACGCTGACACACTTTATTAGCCGCTTAAAGCTGACTTGATTTTAAAATAGCTGGTAGGATTGGATGTCTAATACAACTTATAACATACATTATGACGTCACATTAATAATGATGTCTAATACAACTTAAACATACATTATGCAAGAGCTAAATCTGCCTCCTGCAGGTCTTTCTTTAGGCCTGAAATGTTATCTAAATTATTAATTATACATTAATAAACATATTCAGGCCATAATCAACTCTCGATGGCATCGGATTTCTCCGATATTAAATAGATTAGAACGGTTCAGCCATATTTTGATTTAATCTAAAAATGGAGGAGCGAGACTTAGCTTCGAACACCAGCACGGTGGTTGAAATTATTACACACGTCTTGTCAAACATTCAAAGACAAAGGCTAATATCTTCGCTCCCAATAGAGTAATTTGAATGAAATTTTCAAATTATTCATTTTATATTATCTATTTTCGAACTATTATAGCAAGAATGGCTAGCTCTTTATCTAAATCTTACATAATGTATCTTTAATATCTTGAATACTAATAATCTGTACAGGGGGTATATAATACATATATATTTATATATTCTCTCATCTTGGTATTTCATTCTCAATGGGCCTTGGGGGGGGGGGGCGTGCTGTATCATAAGGTCTGTCATTGAGTCAACTGTTTTCGAATCCCCACGTTGTACGTGACAAGGAGTAAGATCGCCTGTCCAGCCTCATGGGTTTTTCTCCGGGTCCTCCGATTTCCTCCCACTGCTAAAGACCCCTACGCGCAAGCAAATAATTGAATTAAAATTAAACCCATATGTTAGTCCCGAAATGACCTAGTTTGTGTCGAGTGGACGTTAAAGCCCCCCCTCTCTCTCTCTCTCTCTCTCTCATCTCAGTAATCCATTCTCAATGACGGTATTTGTTTAGTATACCCGTCACGAACTGGAGGAAAATCTCCCAACATGGCGAACAAAACCACAACAAGACATAATTCAGCTTTTTTAGATTTATATTTTGTAACGATGTTAAAATTAATAGCTTTAAATATGGTATCATAAATAATGAATGGCCTTTTTTCGTACAAGTTATCGTACGAAGAAGAGCGTCCGCGCGTCACGTACACGTACACTATAACATAGAAAGCATAACGTACACATAAAAGGTCAACAATAGTGTCAAAATGCTATGTTCTTAATTTTCAACAAATCTGCACCTCTTCCCTGTATAGTCGATTAGTTACTAAATACTGAGGATAGTCAGTATAAGTAGACGTATACGACAGCTCGCTTACGACTCCGATTTAAAACCGTATATCTCTTTACCGAACCTCAGAAGCTACGGTCACAGAATACAGCGCGCTATAAAAGGCTAGAGATACACGGCACAGAGAGAACTGGTCGCTGTGTCGCCTGGGGGTGAACACAAGAATGGCGGCGACGTTATTGAAAAAAAACAACGAAATCACGAAATACCCATATTGTAAAGTTAAATAACGTCCTGTTCGTATGTTGTTAGCACACCACTTGTGTGCGGTATGCCCATTCGTTATGATTGCACCATCTGATTAGGGGTAATAAAAAGTAAGTTTTAAAAACACTGGGAGTCCGTCCGCTATAGCACATGGGTCATTTAGAACCTTCCCTTTCTTCTCCTCTGTTTCTTAGAGCAATCACAACCCACTGTCACGTAATGTCTGACGAAAAACCACCGTTCTTCATACGTGGCATTTAGTCCTATAGTGGGAAGAGGGTTACACTGATCTGGGTCTCGTTTTAACAGTTTAATAGCGTATTTCTTTGGAATACAGTCATATAACCGATAAAAACACTTATTTGTAAGACAACGTCCTGTCTGAACGTACGTGGGAAAAAACCCAACCTTCATTCTTTGCCACTTTGAATCCATTTTACACTCCCACGGGGGCGGTTTCTTAAACAAATTATTTTTTCGGGCTTTCGCTCTTAGTTTCTTTTTCAATTGTCTTCTAGTTTTTTTGTTTTTGCCACTGAGTAAGAGCTGGAGGTGAAGGTCAACTTCATCGTCCGCCTTTTTGTCTTTGTTAAGTAGTAATTGTAGAGTATTATCGTCGTCTGTTATTTCCCGTTTTTTCCGCATAAAATTATAAATAGGCGTGTGTGTCGTCGTAGGATCCGCTGGATGCGGATGTTCGTCTCTATTGTCCGTTGCTCCTTCTGAATAGTCTATAATATCACCATCACCCACTTCTTGGTCCTCCGTATCAAAATATTCACTCACTTCCCCATCCTCCTCGCCCTCATCCCCAAACCCATCAGTGTCACTATCACTCGCACTGCGCTTATTATTAGCGTCCTCATTCGGCGACATTCGACTTCGGTCAAACGACGCACCCATTCTACGTTTTAGCTCGCTTTCGGAGAGGGGCTGACAGAATCTACTTTTAAAATACACAGCTGACCCTTCTTCTGTCGGTTCTATCCTTGGCGAGGCAATACATGAACCTGCCAACATTATGAGGAGAATTACGATATAGGTTATCCTTGTAATATTATTCACCTGAAAAATAAAAATAAAACTCATAAGCAAAACAAAAAAAAAGGCTACAGGCAAAAACAAAACAAAACAATTAAAAAAACCAAAAGGGTACAGGTCAAAAACAAAAAAAAACAACCCAAAAAAATCAAAACAAAATTCACCCGAGCCGATACTATAACGTTTGTGTTGAGATGCGTGGTATGGTATTCGAGCCTTTTACAGGGTGTGTATGTATGTGTGTAGGTTAAACAGTGGATCGGGCACCTGAATAAAAGTCTGTCAAGAGTTAGCTTCCTTAGCGGAAATAGTCTCTTGTCTTAGAAATATCTCCGCAGAGAATGCAAGATGACAGTTTCATTGAGCCATTCTAATCTATTGGAGATATCCACGCTAGTTTTATGTAACGGAAATAGTAGAACAATGCGTCATAATGAGATAACTCCATTAACCCGTGCCCAATATAGAAAGGAATGTTAATTAGGTCCAATTATGCATGAGCGTCTCGCGACCAAACAGCGAGTTGCTTATCAAGAGATTCAGTAAACGGCATAAATTATTACTACTATCATTAAGCCGGGTCTATATAGATACATATATAGATACATATATATACATATATACAGTTTGATGAGAATGTCCTTTAGATCCGATATAAAATAAATTATATAGTAATCCTATTTAAATTTTATATATACATGTAATAAGAAATTCGATAACCGGGTTTTTTTTGTGGTTGTCTTCAAATAATCAAATTAGAATTATCGATATATTGAAATTGAATATATGCATACAAGAATAAAGTTTTGGCGTTTTTCTTTGGTTAATATGCAAAGGTCATATTAAAATGTTGTTGCCCCCTTTTTAAACATATAATTTAGAGGACTTCGATTCCGTATTCACAATTGATATTATAACTTTACAGTTCCCCTTGTGGTGGAGACCTCTGGACTGAAGCCCATCAAGCCCGTGTCATAATGTCAACAACAGCTGCAGCGGGAAGGTGTTCTTATCAAAATTCCAAACCAAAAGAGAACGCGTCATTTTAGTGTCCAAATTCAATTTCTCAAAAGATATACCTTAACGTTAAAACCTCATTTACTTAAGAAACATAACCCATGTGACTTTGGATTCGATCTGATTTGGCAGAGAAATATTTGACAAATGACATAGAAATAAACACTTTATAGGTGGATTAAGATGTGTAACATTTTCAGATATATTCCACTACACGTATTACATACTTTGATGAAGTACTTATAAAGTGCTTTATTCATTTCAAATGACATACACCATAACACAACACACTTATATGGATAACAAGTACTGGTTTATTATACCACCGATGTTTTAATACAGACGGGACAACCCTTGGTTGATAATGACGAGACAACCCTTGGTTGATAAAAACGAGAGATCCCTTGGTTGATAAAGACGATAGAACCCTTGATAAAGACAGGACAACCCTTGCGTCATAAATACGAAAGATCCCTAATTGATAAATACGAGACAACCATCATCGAAACGTCGCTCAGTTAGAAACAATAATTGTTATCAATATATGTATTGTGTGTTATGACCAACCAGTTACTAAAATGCCACTTAAAAAAGTCAAACTTTATAATATTAAAAATAATTTTTTTTTGGAAAAAAAACAAAACAAAACAAAATGCCACTTTAAAAAGTCAAACTTTATAATTTTAAAAATAAATTCTGTTTGAAAAAAAAAAAAAAAAAAAAAATAAAGTTACTAACCTGAACAGTAGACGTTTTATGTCGTCCCACATAAGGCCCTAGGAGGAAGGAGCGAGACAGTGCACCAAAACACGCCAATCCAGAGGACGGTGTCATGACAGTACACAGTTCTCCCATGAGAAGAAAGTGCTGTGAACTGCCTGGAAAGGTACTGGAGAAATATCCATTACAAATTGTAGACGATTAAGGAATTCATCATTGAAACTCACTGATGTAAAATTCAAAACAACAGGGAATAAAATCGTTCTTTGGATTGTACTCGACACTAAAACAAAGTTTTCTTTTTTTCCTCTCTTATTCCAGTTAAATTATTCTTCTAAATTAAAACAGTCTTGACAACCGGTGCTGACGGTCTGAAGAAGATGACTTGATCTGAAAGAAAAACGGCAAACTATTAGATAAGGTGATAGTGTGGGTGGGAGAGCTAAATCCCACAAGCCCATTCAAATACCATATACATTCTTCATTCACATAAATTAATTAACAAAGTACTAATTAAATTATTAGCCCATATTCGTATATGCTAACTTCTACGCAATAATCCCAATAGGCACCAAATGCGATAAGTGCTATGAATGGAATACAACTGCTAAAATTGTCTCTAAGTAATTTCCAATATGTTATAGATTCAAATATCGCCCACTGTATATGTATTACTGCCCTGCCGCTGGAAGAAAAAAATATCTAACATCGGCTCTATATCCTTTCACCAAATAATCAAAGCCATTCTATTATCTTAAAATCACAGAAACGACACAAATAACGTGTACACGATAACTAAAAATCGAAGATTACCAACGAATCGGACAAGCTGTGTGTCAAGTGTTCAAACTTTCAAGTTTTTGTCTTTATAACCCTAGGAATCGAAACCTGACTTTCCCTGCACCCCTACGTATAACAGGCCCACATGATATTTTATCCACGCATCCAACACTTGAAGCATTCCATAATACGACTCGCCTAATAGACGATCGCTATTCTGATTGAGTTCTGTATGGTTTATCATACGGATTTACTACTATTACTAAACAGCAAAACAAACGTCAGTACGATTTCAAAATCAGAGAGGCACTTTAATCAAATCATTCTAGAAAACGAATTACTAAATGGATCAAAGCAATTTTTTTGTGAACAGTATGTTGACACATTAGTGATTAATTTATCACAATTCCAAGACATTACGAGAAGGTTTAGAGTGTGTACACAGTCTATACATCAGTATCTGGTGTGTCCACCGCGAGTGTCAATAACAGCAGCGCAGCGTCTGTACATGGAGTGGACCAGACGATTGGTGAACGCCATTGGCACCTTAGCACACTCTTAGAAATGCCTGGCGCAATCCATCGGCTGTGTTTGGTCTCGGTACGACGTTATTAAGTCTCCTCTGAATTTCCTCCCAAAGATGTTCAATCGGGTTTAAGTTCGGACTAAGGGTTGGCCAGTGCATAACGTTGACACCGTTCTACTGTAGCAAATCCCTAGTAACTCTGGCGGTGTTGGCACGGGCGTTATCATGCTGGAAAACGTTGTTTCGATAACGTGCGAAATGTGGCATGTTTGCAAGTTTTATGCAATGCGTCTATTCAGAGCAACATACCAACCTGTCGTTTCTTTTGCTGCTTAGTATATAAATAATGTAAGATTAATATCGACTTTAGTGGTCCTAAAAATAGTTTGTCTTCGAATCATATTAAATGATTAATTCCTGAGATGACTGATAACGTAGCGTCATTACACACAAACAAACTACGTTTTACACTAATTGTCCAAAAAAAAAAATGAAGAAAAGGAAACAAAACGAGCAAAACCAAAGAACGAAACGTTGTCTCTGGCGTTCTAGAGATAGAAAGCATATCTGCCTCGTGTATGACACCTTCAATGTGAGCTATTAGGGAGAAATTATATTTAAGGGCTGTATTTTTGCAATTAAACACACATAATACAATACGTTAAAACATTATAGCCCTTAAATATAATTTTGATATTGCCAGATATAACGCTTTCACGAATATTGACTAACCGCCATTTAAATGTTTTATGCACTAAGTCTGACTACACCCTCTGTATGATTCCTGTTCACGGTGATTCTAACAAACACTGATCCAAACTGTACCATTTACTTCCCAGCATTTATCATTGATTCTATTGATTACAAATGAATGACTGACTGAAGCTGCAGCGATATATAAGCTATTCGTCGCGCGCGCTTTAGGACATAAGGTCTATCATTTAGTCAAGTGGTGTGGTATTCGAACCTTATCTTGTACTAGCAATTAGTAGAGTTGTATGTCTAACCTCGTGGGTTTTCCCCGGGTCCCCCTCCACCCATTTGCTAAAGACCAGTTGAACTAAAATGTTAGTCCCAGAATGACATAGTTTGTAGGGTTGTACGATAAACCATTTATCTTTCTCACTAGGTCATTTCGAGACTAACATATGGTTTAATTTTATTTTAATAATTCGCTTGTCCGTAGGGGTCTTTAGCTGTGGGAGGAAACCGGAGGATCCGGAGAAAACTCACAATGTTGGACAGCCGCCCTACTCCTTGTGACGTACAACCGGGGAATCGAAACCACGCCTGTTGACTCGATGACAGACCTTATAATACAACGCATACGCGCTTACCATTTGGCCATCCAACCCCACCCCCTCTCTCACTCTCTATATATAAGTTATTCGTGCATATATGGCTATTCTATTAAGTCGTGTTAGTACCCAACTCTATCAACCTATATTATATATGTACAGCTTTTATATGTATCATTGATCGACGTCTATATGATCAGACGACCCCAGTCCCTGTCTAAACTCGACTACACAATACAGCTTACATAGCGCACATAGTATCTTCAGTTTTAAACCAAGACTCTAACACTAAAATAATTTCATTTACCTTAAAATCACGAGTGATAAAAATTGAATTATGGCCAGTGATGGTAAGCTATTAGTTATCACATCGCTAGCTTGACTTTAACATGCGACGATTATTCAAGTCTGTCATGGCATTCGAAAATTGAAGAAAAATGTGTAAGAAAATGAAAATGAAATGGGGTTTAACGTCCTAGTAGGCTAATTAAGACGGGCATACGCCATACAGTGTGCTATGAGGGAAATTTTGCCCGGGCAGCGGCACTATGGCCTACTCTTATATCGAATGCGAACTGTCAAGGGATCTTTTACGCACACACTAATGTGTATATGGGACCTCGGTTTTTCGTCCCATCCGAACGACTAGACAGCTGTCATGGTCAGACATTCCGCCTTGCAAAATGTGCAAGACAGTCGCGAAAAAATATCAATTATTCTATGCTATTATGCCGATATACTATCAAAATGGCAATCGTGGAAATTTGAACTAAAAACTTCATACAAATTTAAATGGTTATATTATACAAGTCTTCCAGAAATAAAACCGTAAGTAACAAAAAGTATAAAATTCTGAGAAAATATCATATGTGTGCATGACAGTATCTTGGGGTATGATACGAAAAACGCCCAATAGTTGTAGAGTTATTCATATTAAATGTCTCACACGTTTAATATTTAAAGAAAAAATGTTGAAAGTACCAATTCGCAAAGTGTCGGCCGAGAAAGTTCATCCCGATTTTCCGACGTGGTTTCCCCTTGTCAGTGATGCAGGACGGAGGGCCCGACAAGGACAGCTGTCTAGTCCTTCGGATGAGACGAAGAACCGAGATCCCGTGTAAACATTGGAATGTACGTAAAAGATCCCTTGGCAGTTGGAATTCGATATAAGAGTAGTGTCGGGTAACAACAAATGTACCCGATACCTGCGAACTGTGATATACCTGCGCGGTGTGATATACCTGCCAGTTGTAATACCTGCAAGGTGTTATATACCTGTAATAATACATTTTTCATAAAGCACAGGTATAAAATATTATATATTGGCGTATATTTACCTTAAAAAAACACCGATTCACAATCACTGTTAGCTAAATATTGTCAATACTATGTCTTAGCTGATAATCCAACAATGTTTAAGACGATTCGTTTGTTGGGTATAACGTCCGCTTCTACAAGCTTAAGTTGATGCGTTCGGTTCGATATATAGATTTCACAATGATCCTTAGCCAATAAAGCACAACCTACACTATACGTCATTTTTAAGCTTGGATGTCACGTTCGACAGGTGCCAATCACTGGTCCGACCGATGCTTCAACTAATTAAGAGATTTAATTGTTGGCTTAATTAATCGCTAATTAATTAACTAGGTGTTGTTTTAAAACAGCTAGAATCAATTTAAAATTTTTAAACAAGTCGATATTTCCGAATTTTTGTGTGTGTGTTTTTTTTTAAATCAAATAATTGTTTTTTTTTTATTATTGTTTGTTTTTATGCATGTTGGCGCAAACCGTGATACACTTCTACTAGTTTAAAAATAACGTATCAAAAACTAGATCAAACAATAATCTCTTTTATATTTGTTCTCTTGTTAAATTTCCAAATCGATCCTTGATCTTTATAGGCTCAATACCACTCTTGTTGTAACTGAATAATATGTCCTAATCTTTATTCTGGTCAACAAATTGTACTATTTTACAGTGTTCCAATTAATTGATGATACAAATTTCATCTTAACACACGTAATTTAAAAAATTGGAAAAATTCAACTAAATGATTTGAAAAGCCTGACGTAAAGCTTTTCAAATGTGACTTGCATTTAAAAATATTTTTGAACCCTACGGACAAGTAAAATAGGATTTAATGGATAATTTACACAACAGGTAGGACACTAACACATCTAGTACTTAGAATAAGGCTATTTTTTTAAGAGGTATTTAGTAACTGGATAGAGCAATAAACTATAACTATAACATGGAAAAAACAATTACTGATTTATTTAGGAGACGTTTCTTAGAGTATTCTCTCAACGTTATCAAGCAAGTACAGTACTGATTTATTCAGGAAACGTCGCGTACTTCGAAACGTCGCCTAAATAAATCAGTAATTCTTCTTCCATAAGTATGTGTTATAGTTTATAAATCGATTCTTGTGTTTGTTAACAAAATGAAATGACGTTTAACGTCCTACTGTTCTGTTCCATTTGTAATAATGAACACGGACACACACTAGGCAGGTACTATGAGTAGTTTCGTTCCGGGAAGTGGAATTTCCGTGTAATGTACTCTTCACAGAATGACAACGGTGAACGGAACCCCAGCGCAGTTCCTTGCCAGGGCCTGCACCACTGACAGGAACAACGGGAAATCAGGCTGGAAAATCTTGTCAAATTCTCCTTTTCCTTGAACTATGGATTTTCTACCATGAATGAAATACATTACCAGAAGGAAATCAAAGAACACTAGTTTGAATTGTATAATGTACATCGGGTTCACTTAGGGTATTA